CCTCCTTTGGACCAGCTGGCCAACTCAACTGAAAAGGCCAAGGGTTGAGTCTAGATGTGGTGGATCATCCGCTTCTCAGCAGCTTTTCTACTTCATCATACCTCACCAGTGGATGTTTTGCAATACAACTAGGACCAGACTGCATTCTCCAGTAGAATACTGAGACCGAACTGATTCAATTATGGCCTCTAATTCATGGTGAATGAGTGCCTTTATTTGCAAACTGCATTGTGAAAGTCACAGTAGACCTGTACATTTTTCAGGTCTGCATCCTTAGGGGGCTAGAATAATAGCATCCTGACAACCTGGGAAAACTCTGCCAGACCCAGACATTGCGTATATGCAGGCTTTGCAGAGAAGTGAGCTCTGATCACCGCCACAGAGTGGGCCTGATAATTCACACGCCTGTGTTCATTTGCATTCGCTTTGAGTATTCCTCCACTTACACTCACTCACTCTGTGCATCTACATTATCACTTAAGCTCCTCAATAAACCAAGGTGTATTCCAGGCTCTGTGAGAGGGGAGGAGGCCCTCAGGAGCAAATGTGTCCACTGCCTGGGTCACTTCTGCATTCTGCAGGTTAACCAGTAATGTGAAAAGAGCACCAGCCTTTCTTATTAGAAAAACCCCAAGAGAAGTCAGGAAGTCTTCTGGATCCATCAGCCTTCTGGGGTGGGCCAAGTTAACCCCCTTTGCCCCACTTACGAAATTTCTGAATTCCTCACCAGTTAAAGGTTGGTCCATAGCAGAGGCAGAGTGGGAAATCCCCACTCCCCCCATTATAACAGTGCCATGCCCTGCTTGATTTGGTTAAGTCCCACTATATATGTAGGGAGCAGAATCTTCTGGGTTGGCCCCAAGGATACCCTGCGGGCTGTGAAGTCCTGAGTTGCATTTGCTCCCATTAAAGCAGTTTGGAAACTAAATTATCCATTAAGTGGCGCATTCCTTTTTTTAATTTAAGCAGCAACTTCATATAATCACATTTTAATCTCTTGAAATAAAATGCAAGTGAGATGATTGTCTCTTAAGAAAAGGTTTTTAACTGAATGTAAATGCATAGGTGAGAGAAAGAAAACAGGTAGTCTCGTCAGACTCCTATTATTGTGTCATCTCTGAGACCCACCAGCAATCTGAAATGAGTTCTTGTAGACTTAGAAGACAGCTGACTAATATCTTCAGTTTCTCTCTGGAGTCAAATGTTGCCCTTGTATCTCCAAAGAAAATATACAATTGATTTTTTGTTTCCTTCATTCTTACCCTAAAACCTGCTTCTTCCAGTATGCTATATTTGAGGTTCATGTTTTAGAAATAACGAGCTTGTAGGTCAAATGATCACCGTAGCTTCTTAAAAAGAGACTATTTGGTAACAGACAAATGACAAAAAGGCTGCCTGCAATACTGGTAGTGAGATTTTCCCCCTCATAGTGTTAAAAATACCTCTATTATTAAGTCAGTTACCTTATTTGAAAAACCAAATGTCATGGAAATGTCCTGGTTGTCTCCTGGTGGAAAGTGCCTTCAGGTCGTACCTGACCTATGGGGACTCCAGAGGGTTTTCAGGGCAAGAGACATTCAGAGGTGTTTTGCCACTGCCTGGCACTGCATAGTGACTAGGAGTGTGCGGGGGGGGGGGGGGGGGGGGGGGGGATAATTTTTTTCCAGATTCGGATATATATATATTGGACCCAAAAACTATTGGTATTTCCCAATATTTCCAAATCCCAATACCGGTATGGTATTCAGATTTGGTAAATATTTGGGATTCCCAATTTTTTCTGGGTCCATTATACCCTATGGGGACCATTAAAGTCAATGGCAAATTTATCCTGGGGTATATTCAGTGTTTGGGGGGGGGGTTAAGGAAGCTGTTGGAACCTCTCCTCAAAAGAATTCCCAAATTTCAAAAATGTTGGATCAGGGGGTCCAATTCTATGAGCACTCAAAGAAGGTGCCCCTATCCTCCATTGTTTTCAATAGGGGGAAGTAGCAAGGCAATACAAGCCCAGCAGAATGTCCCAGAGAATTGCTGTGGTAGAAAGTGAAGTGTGTGTGTGGGGGGGGGGCATTTTTGCAATGCCAGCAGCAGAACCAGTGCAATGTGCCCATTAGAAACAGTGCCACTGTGGCAGTGCCAAAACCCAACAGGACTAAGGTCAAATCTGAGAATCTCTGAAGTGAAAACTGGGGGGGGGATGTCTGCAAGGACAGCAGAACCAGTGCAATGTACTAGTACCCAGCAGCAAAACCCTGTGCCAACCTACTAGTGCCCAGCAGCAGAATCCGGTGCCATTGTGGCATATGCCAGCTCAACAGTACTGATGTCAAACACAGAATCACAATCTGAGTGAGGGGGAGGGGGGTTGCAAGGACAGCAGAACCAGTGTAATAGTGCCCAGCAGCACAACCCAGTGCCAACCTACTAATGCCCAGCAGCGCACACTTGGAACGCAAAACAGTGAACCTCAACACCCCCTCCCCCCAAAAAACATAGATTTTAAAGAAATCAAGCAGAACTGCCCCCCACAAGCCCAAAAAAGAGCCAAAAATTAATTTGTTAACCAAGTTTTAAACCAACTCCTAAGAACCAAAGCAGAAGGAAGGAACCCTTGGCCTCTCCTCCCCACAACCTACCACCAGGCCCAAACACCAACAAAACTCCACAAAAAATAACTGCAAACTGCAAAACCAGAAGGAACTAAAACCAAAGGGAGCAAAAATAAAATATAATAAAGGCCTGAGGCCCTTGGCTTCACAACCACCAAGTAATAAACTCCAAAATGGAAGCCACAAAACCAGAAGGAACTAAAACATAAGAATAAAACCAAAGGGATCCCCCCCCCAAAAAAAAGGTCCGAGGCCCTTGGCCTCACCACCCGCACCACAACTTACCACCCACCAAGCCCAAAGAACAATTAACAATAAAATAAGAAAACTTTTTTTAAAACGTTGTTCAGTCAAACCAGTTGCTGTCTTCACTCTTCTCCAGGCAGGCAGGATCTGATCCAAAGTCCACAGCAGAGTCTCTCAGGCAGCAGGAGTCAGGCTCAGAGCAGCAGCTGAAGCCAGAGCCAGAGCATAGTCTCCAAACTTCTGTCAGCAATGGAGTCTAGCTCAGCCAGACCCTTGCTTTTATGCTCTTTGCACATGCACAAAATAATTTCAAAAAAGGACAAACTTCTGTGATTGGCTAAAGATCAGTGTTCCCCCTAACCTGAAACCCTATTTGCCAAATTGCCACTGCTTCTCACCCCCACCCCGTTCCCTGGGAAATGGGTGGGGAAAGCAAGGTAGTTTGGACTTCACATTTGAAGCCAACAACCTTGCAGCTTGCAGACCTGCAGTGCAGTGCCATTTGCAAAAGCATTGCAATAATTGCCTCTAAGGCACCACAGCTCCCCCTGAGGTGCTTTTGCCATTGGGCTGCAGAGATGCCTCTTCCCCCTCCTTCCTATTGCCCTGCAAAAGGCAGGAAAGAGCCCTAGAGGAGAGAACTGAAAGTTGACCTTGTGGCCCTTTAAACCTCTCCATCACCAGCTATTCAGTATAGCCAAATATACCTGGAAAAAGATGAAAAATTCAGCCTTATTCGGGATCAACTGTACCAGTAGCCAGTCAGATTCTGTGATCTGTATTTGGTTTTTAAAATAGCTGGAAAATACTGGTAATGTATTTTTCAGTTATATTTTTGGCTCAGATACAGCTGAATGCACACCCCTAATAGTGACCGTGGGTTTCCTTGGAGGTCTCCCATCCAAATACTAATCAGGGCCAACCCTGCTTAGCTTTTGAGAGATTATGAGATTGGGCTAGCCAGTGCCATCCATGTCAGGGCCATGGTTCCCTACCCTCTCATTGAAATATGTTAAATTGCAAAATTGAATTGGATGTGAAAAACCAAATAGAAAGCCCCTTCCTAAACAAAATAATACTCCATGTTCAGAGACTAAAAATTGGCTTCCTTAACGAAGTGACATTCTTTCATAGGTTATCTTAGCACCTTGCACATTATTGTATTTAAAGATGCTCCTTTCTAAAAAAATGATGAAATCTGGAGTAACCTCGTCCTATCACTCTCTGTAGTTGACTGTACATAGCGCTACTTTAGAGCCAGCCACCATTTTATCATAGCGTATCAGCAATATAATTTCAGCATATCAGCAATACTGTTGATAATTTTAATTATATGTTAATTATATTTTAAATGTTTATAAGGTTGTAAATTGCCCAGAGCCTGCTTGTAGAGTAGGCGATTCATGAATCCAGTAAAAAAAAATAATGATTGATTAACTATATTTATGCAACCATAATGGGAAACAAGTTTTTAGCTCCTTTCCCCCCCAGTCAATATAAAATATTGGGGGTGGGTGGTGGGATTTTAAGGGAAGCTCACAAATCCCCCACTGCCTCCCATCATTCCCCCCACACACGCAACATGGCCTACTTGCTGTCCTTTGGGTTGAGTGCTACTGCAGACTGGTGCAGTGTAACACCAGCCTGGCGAGTGCAGTCTCTACAGTTATAGGAGCTGTGTATGTGGGTTATCTTGGTTCACAGTATTCTGGCTTAAGGCAAAATGGTTTTGCTTGCTCCTGTTTCTGCTCAACCGTTAGTGAGTGTGCATGAAATTGTGGGTCAGCAGTGCATCACAAGATTAGAGGGACAGGACGCTGTAAGTCTGCGAGTGTTACTTGAGCTAATAAATAGGAAGCCACCTTGAAAGTTATTGTGACTTTGCCGTTCAGATTAGTAGCCTGGTCTTAAACAGGTTTACTCAGAAGCCGGTTGCATTGATTACCATGCTGTGCACTTCCCGGTAAGTGTGCATAAGCATGAAAGCGTCAGTGTTTCAGTGTCTCTAACTCTGAATGCGTGGATCCTGGCTGCTGCCTCCTGCCTTGTGTTCCCCTAACCTTTACGATTGCTCAGGATCACCAGGCCACGTGGTAAACAAAATAGGCAAGTTAACTGATCAACTAATATTCTCTTGTTTTCCAGTTACTTGCACGCCAAGTCCATCATCCACAGAGACCTCAAGAGTAATAGTATCCTTTTCAAGAAGACTGCCTTTGTCACTCTTCCTACCCGTTCCTCAAATGATCTGCTCTGAAAGAGTGGGAGGAAATATATAGTCTCATGGAGGCAGTTGGTGTGCTGCGTACACAGTGGTTGAATAGTGATTTGCATCCTGTTCCAGCTCTGTTCACATGCAAAACAGATCCCTACGTGTGACAGTTTGCTCTGCAACGTGGAGACGAATATGTGCCTGTGTGCACCCTCTTGAAAGTTATAAATAGCACCTGTATTCTCATATAAATCCAGCAAACAGTATGTGCACGGATCCCCTTTGCTGGATTGAGGTTAATGTGTTTTACAGAGAGAATGGTGACATCTAGACAAAGGTTAGCCATGACTGGGTTAAAGTAGTACCACGCTCACTCGCTCTCCTTCATTAGATACTATTCGCAAGACCCATTTTCAGCTCCCTCTCGGACCAACATCTGAGATGTTTAGTGCATCCACCAGCTTTCTAATGTTGGGAGAATTCCCAGCTGCAGCTGCTTTACTTTTAGCCTTTTTCACAGTGCTTTGCATCTGCTGGTGGGAAAGCTTTTCAAATGCCTTCTTGGAGTCTAGACGCAGTGATAACGTTGGGATGTAGTCTGATGATACAAGGCTGTTGACTGAAAGGCACACGGGCACAGTCTTCATTCTGCTGAGCTGTGGCTTTTTGTTTTTCCTTTACACCTTCTCTTCAGATATATTTCTTCATGAAGACCTCACAGTAAAAATAGGTGACTTTGGCCTAGCTACAGTGAAGTCACGGTGGAGTGGGTCTCATCAGTTTGAACAGTTGTCTGGATCAATTCTCTGGATGGTAAATAAAGGCCGGGAAAGGGGATATCCCCTGCCAAAATACTTCTGCTGACAGCAATCGGCACAATCTGTTTTGCAGTCAGATGTTTATCACCTGCCTAGGATTCAGGCTATACACTGGCTCCGTTGATCTTGGACCTCATTTATAATTGACTGAAACAGACTATTGCACTTGATTGTACCACCGGTCTTACATACAGAGGAAGCCTTTGTTTGGTGTGCATCCTTTCCCTCCCTGTAGTGGACATCTCCATCCTATCCCCACCACATGTGGGGTGTCTCATCCACCACCTTTTACAGTCAGCTCTGCAAAGTGATGGAAGGGACCCTCGCCCCATTACAAATCAGTTACTGAAAGCAGTTATTGGTTTTGTCACTCTAAATAACTCGGGAAGTGACTGGATAACTTGTATTGGAAGTATAGACTCAATGTACAGCCATGATAGAATGGGACCATAGAACTGAGAAGGGCTCAGAGCTTGTATGAAGTCATTTTGGAGGGGGGGGAGGGTGCCATGAGCATTCTTGGGAATGTGAGGTATGGCGAAACAGTCTGATTTTGCCAGTGAATAAGGAAGACACAATTTCTCTTCTCTGCTTCACAGGCACCAGAGGTGATACGGATGCAGGATAAGAACCCATATAGCTTTCAGTCAGATGTATATGCATTTGGGATTGTTTTGTATGAGCTGATGACTGGGCAGTTACCCTATTCAAACATCAACAACAGGGACCAGGTAAGGCCAGCGTGACCTTGGGTAGACTTGGATTTTTCTGGTAGTCCTGAATTGTGCCCTGGCCTTGGACAAGGAACATACTCTCGGCCTAATATCCCCAACAAGATTGTTAGATAAAGTGGGATAGCCTCCCAAGTATGCTGCCTTCGAGGAAGCATAGGATACTGGTATATGTGTAAATTTATTTCATAGAAACCCTGCCTTCCTTCACAATGGGGGCCCCAAGTGGTTTACGTCATTCTCACTTCCTCCATTTTATCCTCACAACGGCCCTGTGAGGTAGGGTAGGCTGAGAAGTGTGTGCCTGGCCCAAGGTCACCCAGCCAGCTTCCATGACAGAGTGGGGATTTGAACCTGGGTCTCCCAAATCCTAGCTTGACTCTCTACATGCTGGCTCTCAGATACGTAATGTTTTGACATAGTGTAAACTTGGGAGACAGTCCCAGAAAAGAGGAAGAAAGGAGGTGGGATAGCCATCACCACCCTGATTTGAGTTTTCTCTGCTTGTTGTTTCCTGTATGAAAGTTTTCATACGTGAAGGGCTTGTATCTCCTGAGTGTGCCCAGACCCTTCGGGCATGCTGATACCTCCTGCAGGAGAGGGTGACAGAGGTCTCTGTACTCTTCCCCCAGTTGCGATCAAGTGGACTGAAAATTTAGATATTAGTATTTAGGGGGATTGCCCCAGTCTGTCTGCTTAACTGTCGAATCTACTTGGTTACATATTTTATATTATTATATGCTTCCTGTGTGTAACTCTGCCATATGATAAATAAATATGTAGTACAGGGTGTGGCAAGATCCCGGATTCTGATTCAGTAACGTTAACTTAGACACCTGAGACAAACAATCTAAAGTTTTGGATTAAGTCTCTTGCTGGAGGTGGTGTGTGTTCATGAGTATAGCTTAATTTAGTAAATGCTTTAGAGCCTATTTATAGCTACTGTTTGGGTTTAGAGTAATTGGTTCAGTGCTTTCAGCCACGTTGGGAATGCAAGCCATGACCCTAAGGGCCCCATCTAGAGTCTATTACGAGCAGGCCTGCTGCTGGATCGGAGCAACGGTCCACCTTCCTCCCCGGGGGGTGGGGGGGTGGGGCAAAGCAGTGTACATCCTTTTCCCTCTACTCTTTTTTTATCCCTACTAGCAGTAAAGCCCGTTGTGAAAGCAATACAACGAGATCTAGAAAGAGGCTCTGGGGCAGTGCTCTGGCTTTGGGCAAACAGTGTCAATTTGCTGTGGTGACCTCAGCAGGGTATAATGACAGAGTCCACTGTTTTCTCCAGAGGAACTGATCTCTGCTACCTGAAGAGCAGTTGTAATTGTGAGTGATCTGTAGCCCTCACCTGGAGATTGGCAGCAATTGTTACCCAGGACAAAATGGCTGGTTTGGAGGGTGGAGTCTATGGCATTCTACCTGTCTGAGGTCCCACCCCTCTGCAAACCCCACCCTCTCCAGGCTCCACCGCTCTAATCCCCAGGAATTTGTCAGCATGTAGTTGGCAACCGCATCTCCTTCCCAGCTAGCCATCAACCTACCATTATCTGCCCCTTTGACTTCAGCTGACTTCTGCCCTCCCTTCTGCAGAGCAGTTGTAATACTGAGTGCTCTCCAGCCCTCACCTGGAGATTGGCAGCAATGGTTCCCTATGTGGGACTGACTGGTTTGGAGGGTGGAGTCTATGGCAGTGTACCTGTCTGAGGTCCCACCCCTCCTCAAACCTCACCCTCTTCAGGCTCCATCCCTCAAGTCTCCAGGAATTTCCCATCTGGAGTTGGCAACCCTATCAGGACTGGCCCCAATGTGTTTTCTCCCAAAGGCCAAAGTAGGTGACAGGACCAAGCTTAGTTGCCTACCAACAGGCACTGAGGGGAATGTAGGGTTGCCAGCTCTAAGGAGGGAAATACCTGGAGGTTTGGGGGGTGGATTCTGTAGAGGGCAGCATTGGGCGGAGGGGCGGAAGGACTCAGCAGGTATAATGTCATAGGGTCTACCCTCCAAAGCATCCATTTTCTCCAGGGGAACTGATCTCTGTCATCTGGAGATCAATTGTAACAGTGGGAGATCTCCAGGTCCCACCTGGAGATTGGCAACCCTAGGGGAAAGTCAGCTGCACAGCAGGGGGTTGAAGAGAATGGTTTGATGGCTGCTGGGCCAAGATTGGCAACAATAGTTCCCCAGGAGCCCCATCGTAAATGCACCAAACAATTCCTAAAGATTTTCCAAAACACTACTCTGTTTTGGGCTCCTGGGGAACTTTGAAGTAGCACCAAAGCTTTAAGATCTCTCCAGCTGTCACCTGGAGACTGGCAACAGCTTGTCTGGAGTGTGGGCAGCATGGCATTGTATCTGTCTGAGGTCCCCCTCTTCCTCCTCCTCCTCAGACCCCACCCTCAGCAGGCTTCATCCCTAAAATATCCTGGAAGTTTCCAACCTGGAGTTGGCAACCCTATGTCCTGGAGTTCCAACCTGGAGTTGGCAACCATCAGCCAACCTTTATCTGCCTGTCTGTCTTAAGTTTTATAAACCCCCCCCCCCACAGCCTCTGCCTAGGGAGCAGCTGACATCATTCTCCTCTCCCAACTGAAAATTCCAACTGCCTTGCGGGGGGCGGGGTGAGTTTGAGGTGTGGAATGGAGTGTGGTCCAATCAGCTTCCATATGCAAATGACCTTGGAATGCTGGGCGGGACTGCACAAAGCAGCCAGTCAACCTAGCTATTGTCTTCTGAGTGGCAGTTTTTCCGGCCTAACACTAAAGGCGGGCATTTTAGAACTTTGGCACCCACTATTCAACCCTGTGAAGCAGGCTAGGCTGTGTGTGACTGGCCTAAGCTTCTGGGGCAGTGTGGAGATTCAAACCTGGCTGTCCCAGATCCTAGTGTGACACTCTAACCATTATACCACACTGGCTCTAAGCATCCTCTTTCACACAGTAGCCAACCACTTGCCCCCAGAAGGCCTACAGTGAGGCTGTTGCTGCTTCCCAGCGCTGGTGTTCAGAGGTATGGTGGCCTCTCAACACAGAGACTCTGCTTTGTCATCATGCTTAATAGCCATTGATGATTTTGTCTAGTCCCCTCTCCAAGCCATCTAAATTAGTACACATCTCCACATCTTTTGCAGTTAGCTCCATAAGTTAAGTATACATTGCGCTGCAGTACTTTGTTTTGGAAGTACTCGAAATTGCAGAGTGTTGTCGCGTAGTTTTGTTAAGGTAACCTGTGTCAGTATAATGATTAATGAACGTCAAAGTACAGCTGCTTGATAGTTTGTGCCCCCCCCCTTACCCTCAGATGTAGAAAAACCTGAGTCTGGCAACACACTGAAATATGGGGGCTTAAGCTGAAATTCCGTTATGGGTCCTGGTCTGCCTGAAAAGTCTCGCTTGCTTGCTTTCTTTAAACAGAGTACCGCCCTTCCGCCCATTTCATTACCTAAGATTTAGACATTTCTGCTTGAATTTTCCTCCTTTTCCCTCTCCCAATAAAGATCATTTTCATGGTGGGGCGAGGATACCTCTCTCCAGACCTCAGCAAAGTGCGCAGCAACTGTCCCAAAGCTATGAAGAGGCTCATGGCAGAGTGCTTGAAAAAGAAGCGGGACGAACGGCATCTCTTCCCACAGGTAAGAAAGACTCTCCACTGGGGTTGCAGGGCAAGGGGGGCTGGAGTACTCGGCTCGGACACGGAAGCCATCGTTTCAGGACACAAAGAAAGGGTGAGCAAATAGCAACGGAAGTGACTTCGTACTTCTGAGAAAAATACGCCTTTTATTTTGACTGACTTTAGCCGAGAACTTCAAGCACACAAGCATCTTGCTCACACATGTAGTTTTGTAGAGCAAGCGGGGGGGGGGGGAGATATGCACTGTTTAATTGGTTGGGAACAACAGAATTACTGTCTGTACCGGAACAGCTGCCAGCTCAGGGATTAGAGAAGCATCCTCGCATGCGGCTTTCTCTGTGTCTACGTGCAAGCGTGATATGTGTTAGGGAGACGACGTCCTAGCGGTGTTGGTCCCTGCTGCATCCATCTAGGAGAGTGGTCTGCAGTCTCTGCAGACCTGAGATCCACTGTTAAACCCCACCTGCAACACAAGATCCAACGTCCTCTTCGTGCACTATATGTCTACCTTTCTAGCGGAAGACCAGCGGGCTAGGAGATTTATTCATGTGCTGAAAGTACATCCTACCCTGCAGCACAATCAGTCAAATCTTTATGCACCAAATCCTTTTAAGAAGGCCGGGTTGTAAAAACATATTTCAGCAATTAAAACTTTGGGGTTGCTTGGAATTTATTTGAAGTCATCGGTTTGCTGGTTAAATTGCAGTTGTCGTCTTTCCCCCACTTTAAGCAACGACCTAACTTTTGAAGCCCTCAGTTCTGACTTTTTGGGGGCTGGGACACACATCACACTGCCATATACTGAATCATACTGTGGGTCCATCAAGGTCAGTCTCCTCGTCTACTCAGTCTGGCAGCAGCTCTCCAGTGTCTCTGGCAGAGGTCTTTCCCATCACCTACATGACTGGAGATGTCAGGGATTGAACTTGGGACCTTCTGCATGTCAAGCGGATACTCTGCCTCTGAGCTACTGGCCCCTCCCCGGACTGGGCTGGGCTGGGAGAAACAAGGAGCCACATTTTCTCCTTCATCACTGTCACGGAGGAGGTGTAGAGAGCCGTTTCTCCTGGCGTGTGTGCCCCAGGGCTTCTCAAGGAGACTTGCAAGCAGCCTGTGGCACATACCCAGTATCCCTCAAGTCAGAATTATGCATTGCTTGAGAATTACTTTGTTCCCTGGTTCGTACCGTGCGTTTCCCATTCTACAGCACCACGTGTTTCTTGTTTTCTCTTTGTTTCTAGATCCTTGCCTCCATTGAGCTTCTGGCCCGGTCGTTGCCAAAAATTCACCGCAGTGCATCTGAGCCCTCCTTGAACCGGGCTGGATTCCAGACAGAGGATTTTAGTCTGTATGCTTGCGCTTCTCCAAAAACACCCATTCAGGCAGGGGGATATGGTGCGTTTCCTGTACACTGAAATGAAGTTGAAAGCATGTGCCCATGTGTTGACGTGTTCCTGTATGTGCACACATGTCTCAGATTTCGACAAGCCTGTCTTCTCTTTTCTTTGACTTTTTTTTTTTTTTTGGAAAGGTGCACTGTCTAAATCAGGACTCCTTGAATGCTGAGATCCTTGTGTTCCCAGAATGGCATCTGTTGCTGGCAATGGATGCCTTGGGAATTTTTAAATCACAAAAAGGGTTGAAAAACTGCTCAGTGAAAGAGGGGGAAGGTCACTGAAAACTACACCCGTCCTCCCCCAAATTCACGTTTGTTTCATAGGTCAAGTTTCTTTTGTGCCATCTTTGCTATATTAATTTTGGTTCATAGGTGGCTTGGTAGCTGGCTGCATTTTAGTCTATCTGCTTTCTTTTGTGTGTATGTGTCATTCTCATGCCGTGGCAACAATTCCAGCTTTTCAGTCGGTGGCATTGTTGAGGATGCTTAAAGATAAGACAAAAGAGCTTAGGGCCGAGAACAGCTACACATGTTCAAATGAGCAAAGAGGAACGGGCTACCCAGAAGGCACGGGCTTGGAGAGGAAGCAGCTTGCCTTTTCAGCTTCCTGCACGTGGAAAATGTGTGTTTACTTGGAGCTAGGAGGAACCCTCTGTGGTTGCTTGGGGGTGTTTTTTGCCCTGAGAGTTCTCTCCTGCTCTTGCTTAGCACCATCTTCTCTTTCTCTTCAAAACAATTGCCAGATGTTTGGCTTTGCACCTGCCTAATTCAGGCCCGTTAATCAGCATCACCTTGGCCAAGCAGGCGAGAAGGAGACTTTCAAACCAAAACAGTCCTGTCTTGTATAGCCAGAAGCATGGCTGCTGTGCATTAAAACAGTGATGCCCATAATGGGGAAAACAGTCTTGTTAAAAGCAAAGTGGTAAACTTTAAAAGTTGTTTAAAGGTGGGAAATGCAAATTCCACCACTTTCTTTATTTTTAAAAAAAGCAAGCAATGGCTTGCTGCTATCGCTCAACTTTTATGTGGGTTCATGTTTCTTTTGAAGTCTCCTTTCTGTGGAGAGAAACGTTTTATGCTTCTGTATATAGAATTTATCCATTTTCGGTACTGATTTCCACGAGAGCAATCTAGAAGTTGAGAGTCCTGATAGAATCACTCAACTTGTGTTACCCCCTCCCCTTTTCCCCATCTCTTGGAGTGTTTACCTCGTACAAGGAGGGCCACAGTGTTGTCGTTTCCTGCGTGGAGTTCCACTGACTTTCAACAACAGGAATTGAAAGCATAGCTTCAGCCAGCATCGAGCTTTCTTCCCCATGCATCGGTGGCTTCCTTCATTGCTTATTTGCAATTCGAGATATATTTTAAACTGTTCCCCACGGCTGGTTCCTGACAGTGAGCAAGAAGTGGCAGGTGGGTCTTCGAAAGGCCCTGAGTATCTAGCCTGGCTCGCTTGAAGATGCTCACGGCACTGTGTCCGTGCTACACTTAGGATGAAGCAGGCAGAAGTGGAGGTGTTTTCTTGGAGAGCAGTACACTGGTGAAGGAGGAGGGCCTTTGGCCAACCTTGAGAGCAGCAACTAGTATCTGATTGGCTGCCTCGCTGGCAGTGACTCAGACCTCTCTGAGGGGACAGTGGCAGCTGCCTCAGTCTATTGGGGATATCCGGCTGCCACCAGGAAATTTTAGGCTTTCCAAACCTTTACTTTATTTTGGCTATCACTGGGTATGTAGGTCGAGGTTTTAGGCCTTCGAGGTACTAATGTGGTGCCTGAGGAAGTATTTCTTTCAGAACTGGTATCTTAAATAAAAGTAGATTTATTGATATAACTCATAAATAACAGTGTAGAACAAAGTAACTGGTAATGTGAATATTCTGATAAATTCTTTGGTGTCTCACACAAGCTCTGCTCCCTTTCTGTCAGGGATTTTTCAGGTAACTTTGTAACTTTAACTCAACATCATGTAAGTTCACTGTTTCTCTCCAGGACATACAGCCTTTCCTAAACTTTTCTTCTTCTCTGAACAACATCGACAGCTTAACTGTTTTCACACAGAACAGCTTCTCACTTCTTTCATACACAGAGCTTAACTGAACTTCAGTTTCTCTCACAGAACTCAGAACTTAACTGACTGTTTAACTCTCTCATCAACTGTCACCCTTCAGCTGTCAAAACCTCAAACTGTCACTCCTGAAAGACATATCCATTCATCCACTCAGAAACACTTTCTAAAACCCCTCCCCTCTCTCTGTCAATCACCAATCACACCACACTTGTCTCTTCAAACACTCTAGACTAATCTAACATGCAACCAAACTTTTAAAGAGACACACACACATAAACAAGGAATCGTTACAAGCCCCGTTCGCGTAGCGTCACATCCTGGCGATGGCGGTGCAACACGTATTGCCGTCCCCGCGGCAGGGATCCTGTAAAGACATGCAGATCTCCCGCCGCCACTTGGTAAGCCTATGCCTCAGACTGAAGTTTGTCAGCTCCATTCTGATGGTGGGCAAGCTTTGGCCTGAGCTTGATCTGAGGCAGAGGTGAATATCCGGCCTGGCAGGGGGAGAAACGATATGCCGCTTCCTTATCGGGGCAGGCTAGTTATAATCAGTGAGGAGGGAGAACAGGGATGGAGTCCCTGCCTCCCCAGCAAGTGATTGCGCTTCCTGTAAGGAAAACCCCCTTCAAACCTTCTGGACAGGAGCAGCTCATGAGATGGGGCCCTGCAAGCGTGATGCAGATTGGTGGTCAAGGGGGGGAGAGAGATCCGATGCAGCAGTGGAGGCACGGGAACTGCTGCCTCCACAGTGAGCAAGTCCGTGGCAGCTCAAGGGACTTGCAGCATCCAGCGTGGTCACTGACTTCGTTGCCCGCACCAGGGGCCGTTAGCCACTTAGCAGCTGTGCATGTTGCTGAAGTTGCAGCCCCTTGTGTTAAGCGTGTTTGCTTCCCCTCCATCTTCATGTCTCTGGCTGCTTTACAAGCCACTTTTGATTTTGTGTCTCGGGTGTATTCTTGCCCCTTCTTAAAGACTAGCTGCTATGGAGAAAGCCCCAGAGATCCCATTACTAGGTGTGCAGCCCTTGCAGAGTGGCTCTTCTGAGGTTCCCTAGTCAAGTAATCGGATGTGCTGTTTCTAAGTAGTCCTTTTTCATAGTATCATAGAGTTGGAAGGGACCTCCAGGGTCATCTAGTCCAACCCCCTGCACAATGCAGGAAATTCACAACTACCCACACACACACACACACACACACACACACACCAGTGACCCCTTCTCCATGCCCAGAAGAGAGCAAAAAAAAAGCTCCTCCAGGATCCCTGGCCAAACCTGCCTGGAGAAGAATTGCTTTCTGACCCCAAAGTGGCAATCGGCATTTCCCTGGGCATGTAAGAAAGGGCCATGAGAACTAAGCCCTAAGGCAGCTCTCCCTGCCCTCCCTCTCACAATCTACCTAAGTTCACAGAATCCGCATTTCTGCCAGATGGCCATCTAGCCTCTGCTTCAAAACCTCCAAAGACGGAGAGCCCACCACCTCACGGGGAAGCCCGTTCCACTGTCTGTTCCACTAACTGTCAGGAAGCTCTTCCTAATGTTTAGCCGGAAACTTGTGGATCTTGAAACTCCTTTGCCACAGTAAGTCACGTTTCAGATGTTCCGGTTTCAGCCTGAGATCAGGATACTGCCGAACACTAATGAGGCAGGCTTATGGTTATTGCCTCCCCCCCCCTTTTTTTTTTGCTTCCTTAGCTTGGAAGGATAGGAAAGGCTGAGCGTACTGCTCCTCTTGGCTACAAAGGTTGATGGCTAGACCAAAAAAACTGCTCTAGTCCTGTGTCTGCCCATGTTGATTTCATTTTTATCTTTATAATCCTTAGGAAGATCATCAGAAACAGGCAGACAGTCTAGAGGAGCAATGGGAGGAGTAATCCCTTGTTCAAAAAATCCGTCTTTAATCAGCAGTCTGTAAGAATGGACGAAAGGGTAACGAAAGAGCATGTTTTGACAGGGATTAGACAAAGCGACTTTTTAAAAAAGTTTGCTCCAAAGCACAAAATTTAGCTTTTTAAATAAAATGTATAATATAATATTTATACCCTTCGTGAATTATGAAGCTGTTGATTTACCTGAGGAGCTCTTGTGATAAGAGAGCCAAGAGGTCTATGTAGTGAGTTGGAGAAATATAAAATGTTACAGCTCTCTTTTCTGTATGGGTAGTAGGGTATTAATGAGCATCTGCCCAAGTCACTGTGGTTAACAGGACTTAGACCCCCCCACTTTTCTGGGGTTACAAGTCACTGGCAAGCGTGCTCAAAGTCTCACGAGTGCCGTCTCTTCAGAAGAAGAAGAGAAGAGATTAGACTTATACCCCGCCCTTCACTCAGCATCTCAGAGCGGCTTACAAACTCCTTTCCCTTCCCCTCCCCACAACAGACACCTTGTGAGGTTGGTGGGGCTGAGAGAGCTCTGAGAGAACTGTCCTTGAGAGAAGTTCATCCAGCAGCTGCAAGTGGAAGAGTGGGGAATCAAACCCAGTCCTCCCGGATTAGAATCTGTACGCTAAACCACTAACCTCATAACCTGGCAGTCAGTCAGAGCTCCCTGTTCTCAGCTCTTCAGGCACCAGTTGAAATTCTGAGAATTTGGCAAGAAGGCAAACAGAGCTGTCAGCCTCCCCTCTTTGTAAATCTCTCCTGCTGGGCCCTTCAGGCACCAGCTGCCATTGTACGAGATCTTGCTTCTTTTCAGTAAGATAAAAAGCAGAAGAGCTGGAATCTCTAAAATGTGGCTTTGATATAACATTGTATTCATACCAAAGCACTCTCCTTACTGCATTCTTCTAATATCCTTCCAGGTGAGGGGCATGGCTTGCTTTTTGGAACCCTTGCACTAAGAGACTGTCTGAGCAACTTTTGTGTTTGGTCTCTGCAGAGAAAGGCCCTTCTTATCCATTTCCTTATTAACAACTGCTTCCCTCCCCCTAACATCTACTGCATCCATCATACCGGCAT